ACCCTGGAATCGGCCGCACCACAGCCATGATAAGTCGCCGCTTCTGGTGGCCATCTTTACATAAGGATGTGAAGGAATATGTACTCGCCTGCCCCATCTGTGCCAGAAACAAGCCATCACATTGTCCACCAGCCGGTCTCCTCCAGCCACTACCTATACCTAAAAGGCCCTGGTCGCACATCTCCATTGATTTCGTTTCAGGACTCCCTGTTTCCAAAGGTATGACCACCATCTTCACTGTTATTGATCGTTTTTCTAAATCTTGCCACCTCATCCCTCTCAGAAAACTCCCCACAGCCTCCCAAACTGCACAACTCCTCATTAAACATGTTTTCAGACTACATGGAATCCCACAGGAGATCCTGTCGGACCGCGGCCCCCAGTTCACTTCTCAAGTTTGGAGAGAGTTCTGCTCTGCTCTCGGAGCCAAAATCAGTTTAACATCGGTTATCACCCCAATCTAATGGGCAAGCCGAGAGACTAAATCAAGAACTCGAATCTACCCTGAGGTGTTTCACATCCACCAATCCGGCGGATTGGAGCCAGTTTCTGCCCTGGGTTTGAGTACGCGCACAACACACATACCTCTGCAGCTACAGACTTTTCGCCATTCGAAGTCTCTTTAGGTTATCAACCCCACTTCTCCCGTCCGATGAAGAAGAGATTGCTGTCACTTCTGTTCAGCACCACATTCGCCGCTGCAGAAACGTCTGGAGAACTGTTTCTGCCTTAACCGCACTGCTGAACAGAATCGCCGTTACGCTGACCAGAAAAGGAGACCTGCACCGCAGTACATCCCCGGACAAAAGGTTTGGCTTTCGGCTCGAGATATTCCCCTGAAATCTATGTCGAGGAAACTCACCCAGGTTTATAGGTCCATACGAGATTGAATCTGTGCTCAGCCCCACCACTGTCCGTCTCCGTCTGCCGTCTTCTCTGCGTATTCACCCGACTTTCCATGTCTCCCAACTGAAACCTGTCCTTACCAGTGCCCTGTGCCCTCCTTCCGAGCCCCCTCCTCCCGCCCGGGACATTGATGGGCACCCGGCCTTCACTGTTCGCCGGGTCGTGGCCTCCCGTCGGCGAGGTCGCGGGTGGCAATACCTCGTCGATTGGGAGGGCTACGGCCGCCGGCCCTCTTGGGTGCCCGGTTCGTTTATCCTGGATCCGACTCTCATTTCTGACTTTCGATCGTCTCTCCCTTCTGGTTCTGCCGGGCCGCCAGGTGGCGGCCGTTGAGGAGGGGTACTGTCGGGTGTTGGAGTTAGGCTGGGTGGGGAACCTTTTCTTTCCACCAGATGGAGCCAGAGGGTGGCAATCGTTGGAGGGTGGATCCCGCGCACCTGTGCGTAATCGCATCATCGCAGCCAGCATAAGAGAGAGGCAGGCGGTTCTCCAGCGCTTGAGTGTTATCCTTCAATGGTACTCAGAGCCCCCTCTGAACCTGGTCGGTGTTGTTGTGCGTGTTTGCAAGCAACTAGAGACTATTCTGAAATTTCTCTCTCACAGGATTATCTCCCGCGGAGCCGCGGAGAAGTTCTTCCTGAGACCGTGAAGCTGATCCAAGAACTGCCGAGACTGGCCGAGACCCGCTCTTTACCTGCCTGCCCTCCAACGGCAAACCCATCTGACGCCAACCCTCGGATCTGGACCGGACCCCTCCACCTGTCAGTCACTCCCCCTCCTCCCAGCGGAGACCACATCCTTACCAGTAAGCCCGTTCCTGTACTCTGTTGATTTTTTTCCGTATTATTTCACTTACCTCATCTCTCACCGTATTTAGCACGGAGACGACCCTCACCCAAGACCCCCTCCGAGATACATCACAGAATTTCTATTTATTTTTGTTCCAATAAACTTATTTCATTTTTCCAAATCGCTTCTCCTTGTTTGTGCGCCTGCATGTGGGTCAGGCGTGTTGCTTCAAATATGACACAGACAACAAAATTAATTAAACTTTACAGTTAAAATATTTTATTTAGCCAACTCACTGAGCTAGTTACACACACAACTGAAACTACTGAGAAAAAGATAAAATGATTAAACTAAAACTAGTAGAAGTAAAAACTGTAAAAATAGTACAATTAAAATGATGCTATAAATAATACTACTGAGAATCCAGTTTTATTAAATGAAGAAATTGGGATTTACTAAATAGTTTGTGTAATTCAGGTTAGTTTACACCCAAATATGTATTTTATTATTCATACAGCAATACCAGAAATGAGAAAAAACTAAACATTTTTCCAAGGAAGTAATGTTTTTTTCAAATTTTGACTAAAATAGAAATCATTAACCCTTTATGAAAATGTATTCTTAATCTGTTCATCAGATACCAAGTTGATAATTTAAATAGTCAGAGTAGTAAAATGGCAGGTTGAGAGCATGTTGCCACTCACAAAATAATGTCTCAAGTGGTCCACAAAAATCAAATAAATCTGAAACACTGCAAATAAAATTAAATGTATGACAAGATTTATGGTGGATTATGCTGGTAGAAATCCTATTTTTTAGAATGTGGGAGGTTTAAAATGATTTTAGCATCTCGAGTTACCTGTACCTTACCTTGTAGGAAAATTCAAGTAAAATGGGATAAAAAGTTATGTATTTTAAAATAACCCTTAATGGGTTCACACTCTTACACTGTGTTCCAAATTATTATGCCAGTGATATTTTCTCAGATTTTTTTAAATGGTCAATGCAAATGATGGTCAGTATAATTTTCAAGTCATGAACTATTACAGTATAAATCAAATTTTACTGAATAAAGCTCCCCATGAGAACAGTATTACCCCCTAACACCCCCAAAAACATTAACTATATGAATATCTTGGTAAATTTTTTTCTTTAATTCATCAGATGCTAGTTAAATGGTGGCAAACAGTAATGGTTGATAATCTCACACAGTCTACTCACCTCAGAGAAAAACTGGGTTATAAATTGACACGGTTGCCTTTTTCTCTCTCGATCCCTCTGTATTTTTTTTGAAAACCTGAATTTATAATTTTTTTTAAAATAGCATTGTAACTGCTACAGTCGCTTGTGTCTTCTGGAGGAACAAACCATTTCATGCAGATCCAGGGGGGTTCAGGGAAAATATGGACGTATGTTTTTGGGTCTGGGAGTGGGAACATAAAATTTATACAGCTTAAAAACAGTATAAATGTAAGTACTCAAAAATACAATATGGCTAATTTTGTAATTGACAGGGCCAAAATTTATTTTTTAATTTCTATGAACAAAAAATAAATAAATAAATTGTGGAGGCCCCCACAGCCCCCATACTGTGCCCCTATTCCCTCTCTTTCAGTCTTTCCTTGCTGGTCTCTCTGTACTCCTTGCGTGTGCTTATGGTTTTCAGTCTCACAGTGAATAAGTCTATGGTCAAATGGTTCTGAGGCAGATGAATTTTCCCATTGGTTGCAACAGCACAGTTTGGTACCATGTCATCACTTTGGGCATAAAAGCAAAGCACTCCCTCTCTTCTCATCTCTTTTTCCCCTCCACCTGCCTTGTGGTGAGTCAGGAGTAGCAAGTGTTGCCATGGTGACTGACAAGCACTGATTACTCAGCTTTACAAAGCAATGTGGACAAGGAGTAGAATGACTGCGTGAGACTGGCTGAAAAGCTGAGGGAGCAATAGAAGCTAATGGCAGCTAGCGGCCACTCTCATTGCTTGCTTAGGAGAGACAGGCTACAAACTTTTTCTATAACAACACAGAAAAAGCGTGGCTAGATTTATCACTAGCTGTTTTGCAAAAATGTCACTAAAGGAGTCTGGAAAATCGCTAAATATAGAAATGAATGTGGATAAGTTGACAACAGTGCTTCTTTCGTCCTGATCACAGTCCCACTCTCCCCCTCTCCTCATCATGCAGTCGGCCATGTCTGTTGTCTAACTAACCACCCTCTGAAAGCATAGCCCTGCCCCTTGCAGATTTTGAAAAAGTGGGCAGTTACACTTCAAGGATTAAACTGGTGACGTCTTTGTCAGGAGTGGTTAGGTCCTGTGAGAATGTGGGTGGCTTAGTTCCACAGTAGAGCTGCAGCGCTGGTTGTGGATCTATACATGTGGATCTGTGCATATTCTTAGCTCTGGTCTGCAACCAGCTTACAGAGGGGTCGTGATCAGGCTAGCTTGGGAGTTTCAACAATGGTGAACAGCATTAGAGAGCTGCAGCTTCACCTGCGGTACAGGAACATCTGGAGCACTTGATCAGAAGCTTGTTTCTTGTTAGAGGCTGGCATTGATCACAGCTGTATCAAGAATCTCCTTCTCAGCTCGGGACTTATGAACAAATGGAGTATTTAGCAGGAGCTAGCAGCTCAATTGTGGAAAGTTGGGGAGTCTTCTGGTTTTAGCAACATTCAGATGGCATGACTTGGTGAAGCTATGTCTATCAGATCTGGAATGAGCATCAGCTGTTATCTTTGCCCACTGGTGGAGTGGCAGCCAAAGAAATCTTGGGGAATCTACATAGTTTCAAGGTTTCTTCTGAAGAAACTGAACAAACCAGGATTCATTCAGCATAGGTACTGAATCTGTGAAACAGTACATATATCTTTTTCATTCCAAAATTACTGCAGTTGCAAGACATCACAGAGTTTCTTTCCTAAATCTCCTACTGCTGCTGGGACTAGAGTTAACGCAACATTGTCAAATCTGTTTATCATATCAGCTTGTATTTAGTTCTTCAGTCCTTCATTGTTGGAAGCACAACATACTTACTCTGTCTGAGGGACTGCTGAAAAGTTAACCACAAAATACAATCAGCTAAGATTCTCTACATAGATAACTATTTACCATGAAAGACTAACTGATAATAATGCAAAATTTTACAGCATTATCTTATAACTATGTTTTTTATCAAATTTAAATCTATCTTTATGCATAGCTTGATTTGGTTATTTACTCATTTAAAACAGCATTTATTGTTACCTGCGATTATATAAATAGACCGAATTGAGCAAATGCTCTCTCTCTAACACTGGTGACATACCTCTTTGCTGTTGTCTGGAGTCTGCAGACAGCCGGTTCATGTCTGTAATGATGATTTTGTGGGTGAGGGCAGGTGAGCATGGCCGGTCTGGACTACATGATAGAGAGGCAGGTATCATATGAGAGGGACATGGGGAAGGACACGGCGAAGGACGTGGTGATGGATGAGGTGATGGCATTGGAGATGCTTCTTTAGAGGAGGAGGCAGACTTTGAAAAAGCAGATGACTTTTCATATGAGCTTGACCGAGAAGAAAGTTTGACTGCTGCCTCTGGTTGAACAAATATGGAGGAGTCCCGATGGTTCAGGAAGCCCGGACATGTTTGGTGTCCTGAAGTGAGCCGGTTGAAGTGGCCAGCATGCTGAGTGAAGTGTGAATGGGAGTATTGCTCTGGGCCAGAGAGGTGAGGGGTGCTCTGGCAGGTATGTTGGAGTGTACTGAGAGATGTATGATGTTTTGTAGCAGCACAGATATGCTTGGCAGATATTGAGAAGGGCTGCTGGGAGGTAGGGAAGGACTTTGGTGACTTGTGGAAGCTTTCTTGAAGCAGCCGAGTTGGACCAGGAAGGGGTACACTGGAACTGGGCTGGAGTAGCCGGGCTGAGGGTCGCTGACTGATCTCTTTGTCTCTGGCTTGAGTAATCTGGGCCTGGACAGGTGCAGTCCTAAAAGGTGGAGGAGAAGACCTCGCTTCATCCTGTCAGTGACATGAAGAGGAGAATTTGAAAATCCCCAAATGCCCTTTCTGTGCTTTAATGATAGGAATGCTTGTAATTCCTCAGTGAAGGCTCTCAGATGTTTCAGTTAAGATGACAAAATTAATAAAATCACTAAATACGTAAATTTAAATATATGCCACAACAAGGAGATTATAGTCATTAAGATGACTCTCATTGAGAGACAATGAGTGGTTTTCAAAACAGTAAAAGTCACCTAGTAAAACCAAACAAATTCCCAAAAAGTGGTTGACAAACTAATAATTGAATTGGACAGAGTGTCCACAAGCTCTAGCTTAACCAAATGGTGCAGAAGGACATTAAGAGGAACTAAAGCTGAAGACATGAGAGACCAGGAAGGTGTGTTTATGTGCAAATTAAAAGGACACCTGAGAGTAGGAGTGAAAACCAAAACTTTGTAGTCAATATGAAAATCAATCACTAGCCTCGAGGTTAGGCTGAGCTAAGAACAAACTCTAGGCTTTGCCAATAGCTTCTGTTAGTCTGAAGGCACTGAAAGGGAAAGGAGTTTGGCTGAAGATTCCAGCTCCATAGAGAGACTTTGGGTAAACAAGCAGCACGTTGTAAGAGTAGTTGAATTTAGACAAGCCGAATGGCTGCCATGGAGATTCGAGGACTTCTCAAACATGCATGTATGAGTCAAAGCAACACTTGGGGTATGTTTTATTTCTTGAGATAATGATGTAAAGAAAGATTATACATGATTATAAATTATAGACAACCCTGAGAACTCGACTCTCCAAGAAAAACAGAGTGTCTTCATTCAGAGGCTTCTACAAAGTTGCTGTAATATACACTGCTAAAGGAGCTCCTTCCTGCCCAGTCATCTCTTTCTGCTATAACTCTTTGAAAATAATTAATTTGAGTTACAGAAATATAAAAATTTTCTCTGGGATCAATAAAGTATTTTGGAATTCAACTGAATTGAATTTTGATGAGAAAATAACATTATAATATCATAACATGATATAAAACGAAAACAATATATATATTTTTTTTAATAACAGCCTCTCTTTAAGAGTATTGTTTTAATTATTTGTTATTAAAATAGTATAAGCCTGCTAAGGACAGGACCCACACTCTTAAACCTGACGAGTGGAAAGAATAATTTAGGAAAGAACATTCAGGACACCTATTTTTCCAGGTTGATCAGGAGCACAATTTGGTGCTCCTGATCAACCTGTTGAGTGGCGGTTTGTTCTTTATCTTAGAGAAGATAACAAGTCTGTCATTGCCAGAGCAGCTATTGTTCCAAATCCATACACTATTTTGTCACAAATTCCAACAGGCAGCATGTTTTTCACAGTCATTAATTTAGCAAATGTTTTTTTTCAGTGTTCTAATTCACCCAGAAAGCCAGTTCTGGTTCGCTTTTCAATTTAACGATAAACTCTACACATTTACAAGACTTTGTCAGGGCTACTATGAGAGTCCAACCATTTTTCACCAAGCATTAAATGACAATTTTTCACATTTGAAACTCGCACCACAGACAGCTCTTTTGCAGTATATTAATGATTTATTATTGGCAGCTCCCAATCATGATCTGTGAGTGTTTCTAAAAGCATAAAATTACTTGATTTCTTGGCATAAACTGGCTATAAAAAGATTTTTTTTTTTTTTAAAGTTAGAAAAAGCAAATTGCAGTTTGTGCAGCCCTCTGTGACTTTCCTGGGTCATGTGATTTCCCCCAAAGGAAGAGCTATCTCAAGGATTGAAACGAATGTGGCGTTACCTCTCCCTTAAAAAAAAACAACTATTGTAGGCATTTCATTCCAAGTTATGCTGAGATTGAGCACCCTCTGAGAGGAGTATGTCAATACAAGGATTATTGAATTATTAATGAGCTCACACATTTTACATAGGATTGAAGTAAAATGTGAATTGAAGTTGGTTTGACATCATTCAAAGCGCTGAAAAAACACCTGCAGACACTCCAACTCTGGGATTTTTCCCGATCTGTCCTGAATGTTTTATAGAGATGGTTAGATGAGAAGGTTTTTTTTTTTTGTTTTGCTCCAAAAACATGGTGATAAATTGAAACTGGTCGCCTATTTTTCAAATTAGATCCTGTCACAATGTTTGCGTGCAGTGGCAAGTGCAGAAAGAGCTGTTATGGCATCTCGAGACATCGTGGTATTCTAATCTGATTTTGTACGCTTCCCACAGTGTCACACTAATTTTGAGCACCTATCTGCTGTGAGATAGGTTGCGTTATATACGCATTGGTATACCATATTATATTTTGGTTGCGTTTAAATTGAACAGAGGGAAATTCCTATAGCATACAGCTGTGATAAATTTGAACTTAGATTAAAATACCTTTAATTGTCCAGGGACTATTATTTATAACAAAACTGTTTTTTTTTTAATTAATAAAGTGCTTCAGCAGAAACCTGATAAATTAGGTGCTGTAATACTAAATTATATTGAGATCTCTTCTGTATGTGTAGATAAAGTTAAACTTTAAAACAGGATCCTGTACATTAGAGTTGAATTTAAACATTGATATATGTTGTTAAAAGTAATTTTCTCTATTTGAAGCTTCATGTAAATTTGGCCATTTCAATTTAAGAAAATATGTATATAAAATGAGGACTGACTGTAAAAATTTGACTGTAATGCAAATTTGACTGACTCTGAATTCTTATGGCATTCAATGTTTGTTTGTGTCTGTTTCATGTTGGAGCGAATGTTTTACATGTAATGTTTGTCTACATGTTCTGTGTTTAATAAACATTGAACTAATATGCGCATGCGAAGAAGATAAAAACACAATCTTGTTTGCTCAAACACCGGAATGGGACCACCGATGAAACCTGGAATTATTTTGATAACGTAATGACAACATGATTAACTACTGAATTTCTCTAACAGATCAATTAAAGACGACAGGCCCAAGGAGGGCAGCCTGCACCCGTGAGCAAACCATTACATAACCTACAGCCTGGAGATTTTGTGTTTATTAGAAATTTCAGGAGGAAGAACTGGCGTTCCCACTGCTGGCTGGGACCGTTTCAAGTGCTTTTGACGGCACACACAGCTCTTAAGGTCGTGGAGGGGTCCACCTGGGTTCACGCCAGTCACTGTAAGAAGTTCACATCCTATGGGTTCCATCGTCAAATCCTGCGGGACCAGTCCAGAGCCTAGAGAATGAGGTTCCATCAAGCACCTCTGAAAAAATAGAGTTGCCAACACAGCTCACTCAGTAGGTTGGACCACGCTTAGCTGAGGCAGCATTAAGAACATGGATGGGCCGAGGCAGCGTCACAGAACACCGACGTGGATTAAGGATGCCATACTTTGCTGGTGCTTCTTCTTAATATGTGTGGTAATGGCTCTAGCCGTCTAGTACCTCCTGCCAATCCGGAATGCGGCTACAACAGATCACACGCATGCAGTCCCAGAAGGTCCAGCAGTACTCAACATGAGCAGACGCTCTATCAACCGTGAGATACAATCGTGTGGAGAAAAGCAGGCTTCAAAAGGGGGCATTCAGGTGTGTGCCCCCTGATTCTTCAGTTGGCCTCCTGATTCCGTGATCAGCCTTGAACACCAGTACTGGATCAGGTAACGGACAGAACTACAAAAATTGTAAGTGGTACATGAGGAATGAGATTAGGATCACGTCCTGGTCTGCACTCGTAGCAGACCAGGACGTGGTCTGCTACGAGATGAGGGAAACATCTGGATGCCGAAATGGGGAACAACTCCCTACATCTGACACCATATGAAACTTTTCACGATGGCTAAAATGACGCAAGGACTTGTAAACACAGCGAAAGGTTCAATCATACCACCCTCACCTTTGCCCATATTGTCAAACTGTTGGAAGGACCCACAATTTCTTTTTGTTATTTGTGAGGGGGGGATGTTACTCACCATATTCTCCCGCAGGTATTACTGTTCTGGACAAACTCTCGGCTGATGACTGGTTCAGAGTAATGACAGGTATATAATTTTCTACAAATAATTGGTTATTGTTGGCTGAAAGTGCTGCGAATGTCTCTAATACTGACTGTGTTGTCTGCATGGGACCGGGTCCTGCTTAGGATAATCCTGGCCCTTCTTCCGCTTGAATGTGTTCTCGATGTCATGACTAAAACTAATCCATCTTCCCATTGTAGCCAGTGGGACAGTGTTTACCCTCTCAGTAAAACTGATCTTAGAAAACCAGTGTTTTCAAAAACTGTAGCAAAGACTAATTTCACATGCATTATTAAATTAGGAACTCTCAATTCACAAAATTGTTCAAATATAATTCGGGTGCCAGCAGATTTTAAACCAATTTCCAGAAGCGATGTTTGGTGGTGGTGTGGTGATGGCAGATTATTTGATGGGTTACCAAAAAACTCAGCTGGCCTGTGTGCACTCGTAACACTCTTGTTACCAGTTTCTATTTATAGGATGCAGGTTAATGATGCGACTACTGGTCTGGACCATTTCCAGTTTCTGTTATCTAACTGGCAACGTACAACAAAAAACCCTCCTAAGAAATTTATGCAAGTTCCAAGAGTCACCAGTTGTTTTAGTTTGGATCTTTATCTAAGTTTCCCTAACTTGAAATCTACTCTAAATGTTCATGCTATATCTAATATTTCATACGTCTAAAGGTTAACTGTCTCCATAGTTATGCTAACTAGACTTATATTCTCAACACCCCCTTGCAGGAAACTGTGCATACTTATGCCCGGTTGGATAATGATTCTGTGCAGTTGTCCGTTTCTGATTCTGTCTGAAGTGCTTCGCTAACTACAATTGTGGCCCAGTTCCATGGTGATGTTGAGGTTGAATTTGTTTTGCAGCGACCAAGATTTTCTCATTATCCCAAGTACAAGTAAATTGACACTTCCTTTTGATTTTTATCTTTGAAGTAAAATTTTTGCTTCCAGGTTTTTGCTTTGTTTAATGTCATAAGAGGTCAAAACACTTGCTGAAACACTCCAATGATGTTTATGTTCTCAACCATTATTTGATGGCAAAGGTGACCTGATGTTTTGTGTTTCTCACACTGTTTTGTAGCATTACTACATTATTATTTTATGTTATACTCCCTTGTTTTATCATTTATTGATTTTGTGTTCTTGATGGTTTTGTGATATTGTCATTTCCTTTTATGATTTAATTAATTTTATCATTTAATTCATTTTATGATTTCATTCACTTTACTATTTGATTAATTTTATGATTTAATTCATTTTATTGCTTAATTCATTTAATCATTTTATTCATTTTATCGTTTGATTCATTTTAACATTTATGGATTTCATTCACTTTATTGTTTTTTGAAGAAAGAAAAAAAGGGTGAAATTGTGAAGTAGTTTTATTCGTATTAAATGATGTTCCTTTATGTATCATATAAATGTAATGTTTTTTGAATCACAGTCAATGTGTTTTTCTGTGCAGCTGGAAAAGATGTACAAACTAATGAAACAAGACGTGTCTACTGAAGTAAATTTCCCAGGGTTGCTGAACTTCCCCAGACAGTGATTTGAGAACTTACTGTTTTTCACGTGGCCTTCCCTCTATGTTGATAGAGTGTTTAGTTTTCACATCCCATAGACATTACAGTGAATGAGCATACAAGGTTCCGTATGTTTTCCTTTGTTTCTTTTGTTTGGTCTTCAAAGATTGAGTCTCCGCCTCGGTAGTAAAGAGAGATGAATAAAGTAACTATGCAACTCTGGGTTCGTCAGAGCGGATCCTAATTTGTGCCTAATGCAGTGTATTTCCTGCTCTCCGTCTGCAGATGTATTAAAGATTGTTTTTGCTCCCTGACTTTTGTCTGGATCTCAGTCTCTGAATTGTGCACTTCACAGGTTCATATATCCTCTTCACTACCTACACAAATCATTTTTTATTTTATTTTCTAGTACTACTATTTTCATATTACTGTATGAAAACACAAACCCCTCATCGTATTTTATGAAGTTCAGTTTTTTTGTTCAGTGGTGAGATGACCACCAACTCATTATTAATTCTAGGAAAACTGAAGAGATGCAGATTGACCCTCAAGTCAAGAGGTGACACCTCTTCACTTTTAATTCATGATGAGAAAATCAGTCAGGTCTATTCCACTAGATATCTGGGTGTTCACTTAGATGACCTATTCAGATGCTAAATTTATGTTTATATGTTGTGCTCCCACCTACAGGATAAACTGTTTTTTTACCTATACTGAGGATTCAAAATTAATTTCAAAATTAAAAATTCTTTATCAATCACAAAGGGAAATTAGATCTTTGGGGTTGACCAGAAATGCATGTTTTTATTTTATCAGGCCATATTGGAAAAGAACACTCAGGTTTGGCATGTCAGTGTATGTGGTAGGAAATCTCTCTGTAGAACTGAAATATAAACTTAATCATCTGGTATAGATGCCCACAAAGGTTAAAGGAAGGACTGATCATTCCTCCCTGCAGTCCATCTGGTCTGTCCTCACTGAAAGTACTGTTTGATCTCACTTACATCCTCAACTCAATCTTCGAACTTACTGTCCAGCAGACTGCATAGACTGCCCACCTGCAGACTTAATAGATTTAAATGAATAAATATGTAAGGCACATAATTTACTGGTATGTTGATGTCTGAGTCTGATGGTGTGTTTGGAAGACGTTGGAAGAGTCTACATATGTTCAAAATTACACCTGGCACTACACAAGTAAAGAAAAGAATCCCATACCAGTGAAATGTTTCGGAAGGCATTCCTGTTCTTTTCTTGTTCTTTTTCTATCCAGTTGCCAGTGGAAGCTTCAGCCTGAAAGAAAAAAATCACACTTTTAATGCAAGTGTAAATGTGAAAGGCATATGGTCTAGTTTAGTTTGCTGAATCCAGATGGATGAGCCTTGGACAACAGGATGACAGAATGAGTCTTTGAACAAACAGTCGAATAATTTAAAGCTTTATGATTCATTGCAGCAATTTTCAAAATGGACTTCAGGCGCTTATCTTTTTTCACACAAAGGGCTTTCATATAGTGTTTTAGTAATTTAAGAATTCACTCATTTTCTTCAGTGAAAAAACAAAACAAAAAATCTGCTCACTCTTTCTATTTGGCAGACTGCCTAGAGCCCCCACCTGTAGACTTAATAGATTTTAATTTTAACATGCACCTTATGGTGTTATTTTCTGTTGATCAAGCAACAATCCTGAAATCCTCCAAAGGGTTTACTGTGAGAGAGTTCAACAGCCCCTGGTGATAAAGGAAGTCCATCATAACTATAATGTGACCAAGCAGAATGAGGTCCCTGTGAATTGATGTGGACTAAAAGTGATCATCAATACAATGTATTGTTAACTCTGTCATGACCCAGAAAGATGCACTTTGCTGAGGGAAACTGAGGGACCAACAGAAAGATTTCAAAGATTTCAATGTCACTTGTAGCCAAGTTATTTACATGTTAAATTTGACAAACATGTAATTTCTTTTTAATAACATTATAGGATTAACACAATGGTAATTTTGAACCCTTTTAATCCTGTGACGTAACATTACTTGAAAAGTTGAACTTGCTATGTTTTTAACTGAGGTCAATTCAGCTCAGATCAACAAGTGACATAACAAAATAATCTTTTTAGTTATTCAAAAAAAAACCCACAGAGCTGTGGGAACATGTCAAAAACTGTTTAAATCAAACAGATTAGCAACATTAAGTCTCAGTCTTCTTTGTGTGACTTTATCAAATTTTTATTAATGTAGTGGTAGGGAAGAAAAAAAGGTCCTTCAAAAATGAAGTTACTGTTGGTAAGATGCAAAATATGTATAAAAGATCAGAGTAACACACAGGCAGTGTGTGTGTGTGACAGCATTTCTGACACTCAAGGTTATTTGCTGCAGCCCCAGTCTGGTGAGGAACAACTTATGAGACTCACACTTGGGAACGCATGCACACGCACACACAGAATATAAGGATTTCTCAGAAAAGTGGACAAACTATCTTAAATGACAATACAAGGTGGACAGGGGGGGACAATTGTTTTCACTCCATTGTATGAAATCTCTGCCTGGGATTTGTGTGTTGGGTCAAATAAAGCGAGGGATGTTGTGTACAACCCCCCCTCACAAACAGAGAAAGAAGAATAGTTTGGTAACCTGACCTTTTCTTAACAACAACCCAATGCAAAGTTTTCTTAAAATTTAACAACACTAAACCAGTACTTTTAGAAAAGTTGCTCAGATTGTTGACGTTTGCAGACACTTTTTTCTACTATCCTATTTTCAGGACACACACACCAGATCCTTACTAAAATCCTGTAAGGATTTTAAATAAATTTTAGGATAAATTTTAAATATGCTATTACAAAGCATTTATTCTCATTTGAGTCATTTTGTTGTACATATGATGTTGCATTTAAAATCATCGTCTTGTTGTATGACAGTAACTAATTGTCTCATGAGATTAAAAAGGAAATAAGGGACTAATCCAAAGTAAAGTTTATTGGAGACAATCAAAACGGAAAATAAGGCATAAACAAATTCTGATTGGAATTTACCACAAAGCATAGTGGCGAGCCACAAAGTATTCTGGGAAATGGTTCTTTGGACAGTTGTGATACAACTGAAGGTTTTTGACGAGGCACATCAGGTCTATGTTCACAGATGCAAAAACGAAGCATAGCTTTAACAGAACACTGTAAAGCATGGAAGCGGCTCAGTTGTGCTCTGAGGCTTTGTTGCATCAGGCACAGAGTGTCTTAAAAGTGTGGAGCAGACGATGAAATCTCAAGATTGTCAAGACATTCTGCAAAAAATGTGCTGCCTACAGTCAGAAAGCTTGGTATCAGTTGCAGGTCATGGGTCTCAACCCAGAACAAAAATGAAAACACCAAAGAATGGGTAAGAGAAAAACATTTCACTATTCTCAAAAGGCCTGCTATCAGTCCTGATCTAAATCCTGTTGAACATATGTGGAAGGAGCTGAAGCATCTGGAGAAGGCGCCCTTTAACTGGAGACACCTGGAGCAGTTTGTCCATGAGGAGAGGACCAGAGCACCTATGGACAGGTGAAGAAGTCTCTCTGACTAGAATTTGTTTGGTGGTAGTGATTGCCTCAAAAGGTTGAGCAACAAAATATTAAGTTACAGGTTGAACCATCTTTTAAAATCAATGTCTAATTTTCATTGTTTGATTTTCAGTAATTTTTTTTTATCATTTATTAGTGTTGTTAGATTAAAGTTATTTTAGTGACCATTATGGACTTTTTTGTTAATAAAGGAGAACGGCAATGTTGTCTATGTGTATATCATATTTGTTGTCAAAAGTTATTCTATGAATCAACTGAAGTATTTTGAACTGTTTTTGATCAGGTGACATCACATTAATTTTATTTTAAGACCTGAAAGGGACCATTTATTTCACATAAATGTTTAACAAGGCAATGAAAACATTCTGTAAATGCTGAAAAATCTTGCTTTTAATTTTTACTTCAGAGACTTTCTTGAGTTATCAACTAAGAGACCTCACCCTGACTACTAAGGTGAATGCATTCAAAAACTCAAGAATGGCATCAAATCCTAAAGGTGGATTTCACATTATCAGGTATTACAGAGAGTCGCGTTACCACTGGACGGCTGATCTGTCCTGCGTCATGTATTACAAGAACTGCATGGCTGCAATGGCCTGATGGATGTAGCATTCTGAGACCTTCCCAGGCCTGATGAGCCTCCCTTTGATGGTGCAACACCAGCCTGTCATACACCTCCAGATCCTCAGCAGCCACTAGACTCCTGACCTCAGACAACAAGGACAACTGTAGGTTGGATAAGAAATGAAAGCAGAAAATAAAATAAGAGCATACTGAAAGAGAGCATGGCTTGTGATTGGAATCAGGTCAGGTGCTCCTCACACTCCATTACCTTTGCATGGGTGTTGAAAAGCTCCGAAAGAGCCATGGTCAATGGCTCCACATTGATGTGTCCTTGCTGATACTCCCGCAGGTAGTAGGCCATGGTCTGCCTCTCCTGTTCTGTCAGCAGCAAGTTGGCTTGTTGCTCCAGAGACACTTGAGCACCAGGTGGGCTAACCCCTCTGTACCCTGCCAACTGAGATAAAATATTTTTTTTTTCAGTGAGAAAAGTCCAAAGCACCAAAGGAGTGAAAGATCCATGGTTGCTTGACTGGTAAAAATGTACTACAGTAACCCTGCTTTGAGATTAAAAATCAGTTAGACAGATTAAATATAAATATAAAAATGATTCATAGAAGTGCCAAAAATGTGCGAGAGTGGTAAAGTGGGAGCCAATCTTTGAAGAGACTCTACATTTAATAAAATCAGATTTCACAAAGCCAGAACTCATGTGTGATTGGTTTATTGAAGACCACGTTAGCTCACTGGATAATGAAAATGAACCAACATTATTCGGATCTCTGCTCTGAAACACTTTGGAAACAAAGAGCTCTCGCTTTTATGGTCAAGAATCGACAGTGACTTCTGCGACATGGGACTGCAGCTGACAATCAGAATCATCTTTCTCAGTAAATACATGCAAAACTGGTGACAAGTCACCTGAAACTGCTGGAAAACCCAAATCATGCAGCCATTAGCGGCAGGGAACTGTTAAATGCTAACAGTCTCATCTCCCTCTGTAGGCAAAAATGCTACTGAAAGACAACTTAATGGCATTCAAAATAAGTTGTAACAGACTTGAAAACTCAGTTACTGCATTCAGAGGAGGCAAGGGTAGTGCTTGAGGGCACTGGTGGATGTGGAAACTGTTACTAAAATTATAAACAATAAAACTAACTGATGGTCAGGTAATTCTGAAGAAATTGGTGGGTAAGGAATATTTTATAACAAAGTGAGGAGGGGAGCCAAGATGGCGTCTCGGCAAGACTTCTATTCTCCAGCTCTGCTAAAAACTAGACTTAAATTCATAACTTAAACATCCCTGTTTAGTTTGGCATCTTGGTCTTTAATGTGATCATGCACAGTTTGGAAAGAAAAAACTATTTTAAGTCATCCAACATGAACAGTGTAAACTTTGATTAACATAACTACGCCAACATCTCTGCTACTGTCGATGCTACTGTTGAAGCCTCAATGGATGTCAGGACTCTACACTCTCGCTGGGTGGCTTTATACAAAGGTTTTGTATGAAGCCTTTCTTTATACACAGAAGGCTTTCCCTTCTTTTTGCAAATAAGGGAAAGCCCTGAGCTACTGATGACCCAGATGACATTGCTGCAAGACTCTACAATTATCAATTATAAATTTTATAAGAGTGCTGTACTGGTGCAGAGTCATCAAATCAGTTTGCCATTCAGTCAATTTATGTCTGTTTAAAAAAAAACAAATCAGCAAACAGAAAATGTTTTAAATCAATTCAGTAATGTTTTTCTGTATTGGATCAGTGTCAGTGTCGGCCAATACTAAATCTCAGACATCTGTATCGGCATCAGGAGTGAAAAAAGTGGATTGGTGCTTCCCTTGTTAAAAGCCTGCAGCGTTTTATACAACCTGCAGGTGCCTGATGGATCCATCATTAACTACAAAATACAGGCAGTTATCCTAACTCAAACTATATGTAAAAAGTGCATGAATCACAATTATATCAATCTGCCTTGATATAATTGGCTGTATTTTGGCAAACTGCCACAAAAAATAAATAAATAAATAAATTATATATATATATATATATATATATATATATATATATATATATATGTGAATATATGTGTGTGTGTGTGGGTGTGTGTGTGTGTATACAACGGCCCTAATCTGGCTTAAGTTTAAAATCTGCATCCAACTTCATTTAGTTTGAAATAAATTTGTAGCATGAGAAATTAACAGCAATGTTGCTTTCTCACCTTTCCAAACACAGGTGTGGCTCTGGCAGATGATGGTCTGCAAGAGGGACAATATAAAATATATATGTAATGCATGTAGAAAAACAGTGTCAACTTCACAGCACAAAAGAAATTTAGTAAATGCCTTGATAGATTTCAAAAGATGATCAAAGCACAGCAATTCACTTAGTTCTTATTATTTCTTCATAGTCCACAGAATAACTGCTTGGTCGTAATTAAGTAGTTGGTTTCAAAAGAATAAAATAATCCTTTACTCTTCCAATTGGAAAATTTGTGTATCAGCAGCAAGGTAACAGACAAATGGAAAAACATGCAGACGTACACCTGAAACTACCAAGCAAATGTTGTATACAAAAATACAAACAACTACAGTATACATTCATGAAGAATAGCAGCTGTAAAAGGTATACAAAGTGTGGTTTTGTACATTTAAGCAAAAATCAACAGTGCTGCAGAGAAAAACATTGTTATTCTTTGTGGATTGTTACTAATTGTAACTACTAAAGCTCTCAGTGTCCTCAGCAGGTAGTCTTCTTTTACTGTTTCTCTAAAATGCAAAGCAATATTTAGATATACTAGTTAAACATATTACATATTACTTTAAATAAACTGAGGCCGTAAATGGTTACATGTCTTTATAATCTAATTCTACTTGTGGTTCCAATGTAAGATTATTTAGCCTAGCTTAGTGTACTTACCTTGTATTGTTGCCACTGGCACTGATGCTTGTATGAACAACAGCACCGACACTTGGATGTGAGACAGAATTTAGGCCAGCTGTTGCATTGGTCTCAGCGATGACATGACCACAGGTCCATTTGGTCTCATCCACAACTGTACGTGCATGAGGCAAACGGCCCACATCCCTCAACCTCATCATTAGGTGATGCCCTGACTTGAGGATGTTTACTGCTTCATCATGGGAGATAGTGACAAAGCTCTGACCATTCACCTCCAGAATTTGGTCACCCACCTGCAAGAGACACAGTACAATTTCTTATGTTAATTTTCATCATAGAATCACAAAACTTAGGATCACATATCAAACATATCTTAAGTACTCAGTTCATTTGCTCAATGCATTAAATGTGTTGTGGTGCTGGGGCCTGGGTTGGGTTCTCGAGTTTGAAACTCATACTTGAGTCAAACATAAATTGCATTTATAGTGACTTACATTTAGCTTGACTTAGATTTGATTTCAAAAGACTTTAAACTTCTTGGACTCACAGTTTGAGACTTGTCAATATTCTTAATCTTTAATGTTTTTGTGTGTGTTTAGTCTACAATATCTTCTTTATTATAGTGCTTAAAATGGATGTCTTCCATTTTCATTTGTAGCGCAGATGTAATGCCGCATGATACAAATGTACACACGCGGTGTGTGAAACATCACTATAAAAAACAAACAAGCAAGCAAAAAAAAAACAATCATGGCAGCACTGGTCTCTGTCCCACCATTCTTTTGGATTCTGTAGAAGTAAGCAAGCCTGTGGACTGAGAAGATAAACCAAGACCGGTAAGATGCTAATTCAATAAAAGATATAGATGTTTCTGGAAAAACTGCATTTCTTTAAATAAGACAAGATAAAAAAAATAGATATACTTTATTAATCTCAGTATTGAGAACTTATTGGCCAGTAACAGAATGTCTGTCCAGTGTGTGATGCAGCATTTTGTTTCATACACTGAAAGATCTAAGATTCCTCAATGTACATTTGCTCTCAATGAACATTTCCAAGAGCTTTACAGAACAGCATTAATCCTCTAAACAGTTGAAACCACACAGGTGTTTAGCAAATATTAATCAATGTCTGAATAATTCTGAATAAAATTAATAAATTCTCAGGACAAAATCTACAAGTCAGGAAGTAACATAGTAATTGAATCCATTAATGAATGTCAATAGGTCGATCTGTAATGATATGAAGAACTGAAGAACTGTTTCATCCCTACAGTCACTGGTTTGTCAAGACTGCTACCAGCTTGGGCTAGGATTGAATCTCGATAAGATTTTCCTGGTGAAATAAAGGTTAAATAAAAAATAAATTAAAAAAAATTGATGCCCTGTCTTAATGTTGCCATTATATATTTGTAGTTTATTTTGTTATTTATGTGTTACTATGTATGTTCCAGACTCTTCAGATTTTTTAATCAGTCTTTTTATTGATTTTACATAAACCTCTTATGTGTCTAATAAAGACACACAGACACACACCCACACACAAAACACAAACACACAACAGAAAGCCCTCTCACCCCTTCTCTCCTGTACCGTATCTATTACCCCAACATGTATCCATTTTGTGTTCATACTATGCAAGTTACAGGTTTGTGCATAAATGAAACGACCAACACTTCACCATTACACAAATTTATCTGCTGAAATTCATTCAACGTGAGAAATGAATTGCTGCCAGATATTGTAGAATTTATTAACACACCTCGTAGCTGTATGTCTAACTTTCTCCATATTTAATGACCTCCCTTAACCAGTGTCCATATACCAGAGCATCTTGATTCTTCCATTGAAGAACAAGTCTGCTAGCCAGTGGAAAGCAGAAAGCTGACACAGTCCTCTGATGTTCGCTGAAGGAAGCCTCTGCTGGTACCACTCCAAACAGAGAGTTGAATGTTGACAAACAAACAGTTTGTCCAAATATTCCTGAAACTACCATGAATTGAACATGCTTCAGTTATATTGATGAAGAATAAATATTTTGAGTTATTTTTGGCCAAACAGTGTCTAATATGGATTCCTCCAAGTCCATCTGCCACCTGGCTGGAGATTTCTTCCTGTTAAATGGGAGATTTCCTCTCCACTGTTGCTTACATGCATGTTCTGTTTGAGGGATAGCATTAAAATCAATTACACAATGCAAAGGCTATGTGCTTGTCCAGCAGCAGGGAATGCTGCAAAACTGAGTCGATGCAATCTGCTGGGTTTCCATTCATTCTTTATCTTACATGCTTATCCCTAGAAGGGTTGCGAATAGTGCTGGTGTTGCCTATATCCAGTGCTCAACGGGTGAGAGGCAGGTACATCCTGTATCTAAGGTCAACCTTGGAAGGATTCCAGGTTGGAGCAGTGGGCCCTCACCACCATTTTACCTTTAAGACTGATGCACATTTTGCAATCTTTAGGACGCTGCCATGGTTTTAGTAAAAGTTTTACTAGAACCAGGAAGATAGAGCACATAACACCAGTTTTAAAGTCCCTCCACTGGCTACCTGTAGCTCAAAGAATAGATTTTAAAATACTGTTGTTAGTTTACAAATCACTGAACGGCTTAGCACCACAATACATCAAAGATCTGCTGTTGTTGTATCAACCTTCCCGACCTCTCAGGTCTTCTGGTTCTGGTCTGCTCTGCATCCACAGAACCATAACCAAGAGAGGAGAAGTAGTTTTCAGCATCTATGGACTAAATATTTGGAACAAACTTCCAGAAAACTGTAAAACAACGGAAACCCTGACTTCCTTCAAATCTCAAGTAAAAATGCACCTGTTTAGAATTGTATTTGAAATGTAATATGTATGGATTTGTATTTGTGGATATGTATGTAATTGTTTTTTTTTTTTTTTTTTCCTGTTGTGGGCAACAGGGCCCGACGAATACCCATGGTTAAACGAACGGCGGAGTCCGGCGGTAACAGGCGCTTAAATTCCGTGACAAAAAGAAAAGAAAAAAAAACACTTGGTATTTTATTCTATGTTGCATGCCTTTGTGTTTTGTGTTTATGATGTAAAGCACTTTGACATGCCTTGTAGCTGAAATGTGCTATACAAATAAAATTTGATTGATTGATTGATTGATTGTTTAGGCAAAACTGTTTTTTTTTTTTGTATATTCTAGTTGTACTAGGTGGCATTGCTCCAACTGGCTTTCAATTCCTGTTTACTTAACTGTAAGGATGGCACGACTCAGCCTTCACATAAGAACACCTACACCAAGAAAATCTGTAAGTGAGAGGCTGCTATGTCTTTGCCATCTACTGGATGCACACCAGGCTCCAATACAATAATTGGTTACCATAACGACTTTGGACACAGTCTAGTGGTAAGCTATTGCTGAACAAGGAGCTACACTGATTTAAGGTGACCCCCTCCTCTTTCAATTGTAGTTTGATCTTCTTCATCTGAAAGAAAATAGTCCAACAATTTCTTATTTAAGGAGAACTGGAGCTGTTTTTTATGTGTTTTATGGTATATGAAATGACACCCCGCTTTTTAAGTGGGCTTCATATTTCATAAATAACCACTGTTTGTAATCAGTTCTGTGCCCTTTTAAGGATAGATTTGAATTTAAAAAGTTTTAGAGTATAGAAGCTTCTATTTTAAAAAATCACATTTACTGTTTATGATGACCTTAGGTCTATATGTTTTCCCTAATTACAATTCAGAAACCATAACAAAAATAAATTATACAAAAAACAATGCAAAGACATCAGTGTATTTTATTGTTTCATGCTTCAGAAACAACTGTGTGACTCTGTATCACAATGACCTTCACTCACAGTTTTAAAACAATGAGCATTAAGGTTAGGTTACAGTATGGTAGAAAATTGTTATCAAATTCTACATCAAAGTTTTGTGAAAAAGCTCCAAAATGAAACAGGAGAGGACAAAATGAGACCAACCATACAAAGACAGAAACAAACTACAAATTACCTGCTAACTCAACCTCAGTATAAATATTGTTTAAGTACCTACATTTATTTGTCCCAGCATATTTTTTGGATCAAAATGAAATGAATTCAGATTTGGTAAAATTATTTTCTTATGAGCTACTACTGTCAAAAACAAACAGTTAACAAAATATTACAAAAATGTTTACATTTGCACCTGAGTCAGCTGTTTGTAATCCTGGGTATCAGAAGGTTTTGTGTTTCACATGACAGGCTACTCATTTCTTAATATATTGCTCCTATTTTATAACACGAGCATTGACAAATGTGTGCTATACCTTCTATTGAATATAGTTAGCTGCAGATTAATTTTTGTGAGTAAATATTGAAAATGCAGTAGCAAACTGTAGCCTCAATAGCTGTGGTGACTTATGTAATCTGAAATAGCAAAATAATTTAGTGAAAATCATTATCTTTTTCTGGTACTATGCTGGGCAATGAATGCGTTTTGACATTCTACCTGAATGTTCAACAATGCATTGAACATGTATTACGAAATGCATCCACTACAAAATAATTAACATTTTCAATTTTTAAAAGTAAGTTCAAACTGTTATGTTCATTTTCTAATTTAGGACATATTAATAGGTATCTTCACCGTGTCATAACGTGTCATAGGAAAGAACGAGTGGCCCTTGGATGCCTTTGAGTATGGTCCCTGGAAGGAGCACAGTGATGGGGGGGTGGGGATCGGGGTGGAGAAGATCAAGTTGTCCCAATTAGTTTGAATAATACCAGATTCTAACTAGAAAGCTGTCCTCTTTCTATGTAGGACACAGTGTGATATCATGATGAAAGAAACTTGTTTACAGGTAGCAAGGCTGGCTTCTGTTTTTCTTGCCTTAGGCAGGACAAAAAATAGCACAGAGTGAGAGTGGCCTGTTTTTTGAGGCCGAAATTGACCTTAAAGCACATAGAAAATATCTTAGCCTGGGTTAGCATGGCTGTCATGGTGGTGAAGTCATCAGCCTTACTGAGGCAATGGCCTAAAGTTGCACTTCCACCCTTGCTTCAACCCTTGTGTCCTTCAAATGCATACTCAAACCTTGGAAGGTTTGAGTATATTGTGTCCCAATTCCCCGGTTTTAGCCCTGCCCTTTTTGGGTTCTATTTTAGTACTTCTGTTAAGACTACATCCAGGCAGAATCAGCAAAATGTATTATCCACAATTCATACTGCATTTGACATTTTAAGCTAAAAGGCAGAAATATTGCTTTTTTTTGTCTGTGGAAAAGAAAGTAGTATGATAAGGTTCAAATCAGTGACAAAAATGTTTGATATGCTAAATACATAAAAAAGAATGATTTCACAAATTAACCGTGAAGAAAGAAGCAAAAAATTTTCCGAATGTAAGAGGAATTTCAAGTCTTAAATTAAGCTATTAACATATCACTATGGGTTTCTGTGTTGTTTCAATATTTAAGCACTTTCTTGAATAAAATTATTTTACTTAAAAATTATTAAAAAATTGAGGTTATTTTTAGAAAGTTGCATTTGTGAATAAAAATTTTTGCCAGAGGATTAAATCATTAATGTAATAATTTGACTTTTCATCTCCTGTTAGAAGATCAAATTTTATATCAAAACTTAAAAGTGGAATACATTTTTAGTACAAGATCCAGTTTTGAAAATGTTTCCAAAAACATGAGTTAAATTACAATTGAAAACAAGTGGGTTTTCTCAAATTCTCAGTAACAAGACACACAGGAATTGATATTTATTATGAATTTCTTTTGCAGAAGTTATTCCAGAAAAAACCAAATATAATTATGACATTAATTTCATACATTTTTGGAGGGAATGGAAAAAGGTATTTAGTTCTTCTTTTCTTTAGAAAAGATATATTTTTTAAAGAAATGTTGTCTTCTCATGGTAGAGGGGAATAAATTAAAGCTCCTTGTATATGTATTATTAAATTTTTTTTGTCTCTGTAGCCAGTTTGCCCCCCCACCTTCTTCAAATCAGACAAAACTGGTGTCAAACGTTTGTGCTATGTCTGTGCAGGTTTGTGCAGCAAATTTTTTTGTTTGTGCTGCTATCATTTTAAAGATATAAAGAAATGTTTCTAGAGGACCTCAAAGGTCAACCAGGCCCCCACCTTCTTCAAATCAAACAAATTGGGTGTCAATCAACTTGACTCTGTTTGTGCTGGTTTGTGCAGCAAAAATTTTTGTTTTGTGCTGCTTTGGCTTTGAAGATATTTATAAAATGTTAAAAGTCAAAAAGTCAACCAGCCCCCCATCTTTTGTGAAATCAAACCAATTTGGTGACAAGCGTTTGTACCAGTACCAGAACAAACATAGCCGAGTTGATTGACACCTATTGTGTCTGATTTGAAGAAGGTGGGGGGCTGGTTGATCTCTAAAACATTTCTTAACATCTTTAAAATGATATCAGCACAAATGAAAATTTTGCTGCACAAACCAACACAAACGTACCACAAACATTTGACACCAATTTTGCCTGATTTGAAAAAGGTGGGGGGACCAACTTCACTCAGGTGAATCCATGCAGGAGGAATTACCTTTAGAACTGTGCAATTGAATGTTAGTACTTTTAGTGTGTATTCTTTGGCAGTAATCATATGATAAGAAGTTGCCATTGGAAATATGGTGGTGTTCACAATGTAAAGTATTGAAATAATTTTTGTTTCCCTCAACTGAACATGTGTGAATCGATCAAGCTCTTTATTCAAAAAATTATAACAAAACACATTTGAACAGCCAAATAAATCCAGCGGTGATTTTGGCAAAAATACCCGTACAGTACATTTCAAATCAGTTTCTTTGTTGTAGTTAATTTTGCAGCACAAACACGTGATTAGCGATCGGTCCACCATTTTGGATGCCAAAGTTGAGATGCAGAGGCGTGCAGTCCCAATTCTCTAATTTTCATATGGTTGTTGTAACCTGCACATTTAAACCCTTGTTCGCTTTGAGTACACACTTCTTAGGGGGTGCATAGAGTGCAGTGGCTGTATAGGGCACAGTGTGAATATTGGGACCGGACCAAAATGTTGCAGTACACCAGCCCACAAGGTCTGGAATTGGAAACTTCTGCTTTAGCAGATTGAACACTTTAGACATTTGCATCAGACAGCATGGCAATTGAGTTACTAAGGCAGCCTGCGGTTCCATGTGTCAAGGTGGCCTTTTTTGTTTCCTGCCACTAGAATGTCTGTGCTGCTCTTGCTGCTGTGGACTGCAGGCTTTACACTGTTCTAGTCACTTCACCTCCACATGGCAAATTCATTCACATACACTAAGTCAATATCCAATCAACACAGACACAATTATTTCTACACTTAAACTGACACAGCCACACATGTACACACATACATTGACATGTATTTAACCCATGTATTGACTTGTATTTAATTGAAAGTCACACAAACACACATGATTATCACATCAATGGGAACTGAGCTTTTTCATCCTGAATGCAGTCTGGATTTATGACCAGACCAGGGCCGGAGGGTACAGTGTGAGTATTGGGACCAGAAGACAAGCTTCTGATGTTTAAATGTCAAAAATCTCTGCGGAGTTACTAAAATCAAGTACTCTTGCAGATATTATTGATGACCGCAGGCAGAGGTAGAAATCTTCTTTCATTAAATCTAGGACACAACCTGCAGCCACACAGTAAAAAGGTTGTGGTTCAAACCGATCTGAGTTGGACCCTTGGGCTTTGAATTTATTCTATGTACATGCATTCTGGTTGCTATATCTCCATACTGTCCACGACCCTTTGACATTAGATTATTCAACTGTCCTAGAGTGCAAGTGTATAAATGAATGCAAGTGTATAAATTAATTTTTATTTGTTTGCCTTGTGGTGAATGCTAACCTGACCTTTCTCCACCTTTCACCCCCTGTCAGAAACAGACAACTCCCTGCATAAATGGGGTAATCCATCTCACTGACAGTTTTGTTTGAAAGCATTGACATACAGCACTAATAAATCCAGCTTTAGCTCATCCTATTTTTGTTCCTGATTGGCACAAAATTATTGATAAGTGTGAAAATAAAGCTAGTTCAATCAGAGAAAAGTAAATGACATATATGTACAAGCCATTAACCATTTCTTAACCAAAATACTAACCTTTAAGATATGAAAAATAGCTTGCGCTGGTGTCTAGTTCACAAGATTTTCTACACTGCTCTACTTGTTCTCAAGAGGATAGAGTTAAATAAAAAAATTGATTTTTTTTTCAGATAAAATAATATCTGAATAAACACATATTGTAAAAAATCCAATAAGATGTTGATCGTGACAATGATGTGATATGTACACAGCCAGAGTAAGAGCTCCCATGTTGCTTATAGCTGCATTCCTTCCAAACAGCAATTTCAAATTGCTTTTTTTTTTCTATAAATTTAACCTCTGAATATTAACCAAATATTGAGTTATAAAATGAGTGAGGTATACCTTGAGTTCACCAACATGAGCAGCAGATCCAGGGTCCACTCCTGTGATGTAGATCCCCAGTCCGTACTCAGCCCCACCCCTTATCATCAGACCCAGAGAGCGACCGTTGTCCATATTCAGGTTGACCTGTGGTGAAGACATCACAGTCAGACTTCTCAGTATTGTCAATAGTTAACAATTTAACTAACAATAACTGTGCCAATGAGCCATTTCATTCCAGTGTTTTGTACCTGTGGCACATCTAAAAACTGCAAGACAGGGGTGTCAAACAGGTGACACCTGTGGTCTAGGGCAGAGGTCGGCAACCCGCGGCTCCGGAGCCGCATGCGGCTCTTTAGCGCCGCCCTAGTGGCTCTTTGGAGCTTCATCAAAAATGTTTGAAAATGGAAAAAGATGGGTGTGGAAAATATATTTTTTGTTTTATTAGGACAAACACGACACAATCATTCTTAACGTTTTCCAATGCTATAAAAATGTGAAGAAGAAACATTCATTTTTACAATTCTTGGACCGAATTGTCTGCATTCGTTGCCAGTGTGGAAGAATTGCCTGAATGTTTGCGCTGTAGCGACAAGTTGTCAAATAACTTTTAAAAGAGTACCGTACTTTCCGGAGCGCACCTTAATAAAAGCCGAACCTACAAATTTTTTGGAAAAAATAAAAAACTGAAAACATACATAAATAAGCGATACAATAGTTTTCATCAGTATACATTTAAAATGACACTTAGCGATATTATTTTGTGTCGTTGCTCAGGTCGTGTTGCTCATGGCTGCGTGTCAGAAGAGAAGAGGAAGCTGCTATGTGTTACTAATGCACTGCCTTACTTTGCATTTCCACAGAAATTGAACTTAAACTCTATTAATTCAATTTTATATACTTTACGTTTTCAAAAGGCTGCCGTTTTATTACACTTTGTTTGTTGTTTTTTTGATCACACGCTTAACGGTGATTATTCACAAAGAGCGATCCTCCTTATGCAAACTGCATATGGGGGCAGATTTTCCGTGTTCCAAAAGCTGGGGAAATGACACTTTCCCTGTCGCTCTTCATAATAAAAATGATTTTAAAAAATATGATTTCTTTATTGTGTTTCTTTAATTTTGTAAATACATTCATATTGTGCCAGAAGGTTAACATAAAGCACCATCGTACAACAGAAGAGTCACGTGTTGCGTCATTCCTTCCAGGACGCACTGCAGGGAAAATAAGCATTTAATCATGAATACTAATTATGTATACACTTAGTCATTTTGATAAAACGCTAAAATAAACACCTAGAGCATGTTTTGCCTTCATTATAAGCCTTATACTTTTATAAGGCTTTTACTTTTTTGCGGCTCCAAACAGATTTGTTTTTTTGTTTTTTGGGTTCTATATGGCTCTTTCAACATGTTGGGTTGCCGACCTCTGGTCTAGGGGATCTACAGCAGAAGTGTTCAAGTCAGGGCTCAGGGGCCAGTATCCTGCATGTTTTATTTCTCTTTCCCTGGTTCAACACCCTGGTTGTAATGACCTCCTCAGCATGTCAGTGTTGTGCAGACGCTTCTAACATTATATTCAGGTGTGTTGAGGATTGACATCGGACGTCCCTAATTTACAGGAACTGAGCAAACAGAAACAGTAAAAGATCCTTCACTTTGTGTTATTCTACCATGTTAATTGTTGTTGTAAAGACAACCACAAAATGGGGTTGTACAAAGTGTGCAAACAACTGTGAAACCAGTGATTTTGAATAATAAAACAAACACATATTTATTCAAAGGGGTTTGTGTGACCTATTTCTAGTTCAATGAAAGACTATGTATTTTAAAGCTTTTTTTCCCATTCCATTTTCCATTTACAGTTCCCAGTACATGTGGCCAGCACTGTAGCTGAGTTCATCTCCTATGCAGAAAGATTGTGTTTCTATACGTATACATAATTATACACTTCTAAAAATACATTTTGCAGATATTGTCAAAATCTCTAGGAAGCAAAATCTTACATAATGCAAACTGTGACCTTATCACCACTGTGTCAAAGAAAATGGTTTCACTTCTGACCTCTGCTTCAATTGACTCATCAAACATGTTATTTGGAACCTGTTTTGTTTTTTAAATGTATCAGTCCACAAGTGAAACAGTTACAGATAATTCATACATCCAATGCCTCTAATAGAAAAAAATATTCCTAATTCCCCTGTTGTGCACTCTCTGCCATCCCTTCTGTCATTCTCTCTTTCACTCTCTCCTCGGTTTCCCTTCCGCTCTCTCCCGTCACACCTGTGATCCATTACCGGTAGTTCATCAGCCCAGGTCTTTTGGTCCAGCATTCACCCTCTCAGCATATAAACCCTTCTCTTACTCATAGCCTTTGCTGATTCCTCTATTTAATCCTGCCTTATCCTGTTACTTCCTTATTGTTCCTGTTATTTTTTTGTTCTGCTCTGGCTTCTTACATTCTCAATGGTGTTTTGGTATAATTTTTTTGTTTTGTCATTGTCATTTAGGTCCAACTCCAACACACCATGACAAGAGTGATCATTGGTGTATTTTTCAGATGAGTCACTTTGTGTAAATCTTCTCTCGAGGTTCAGTCAAAGGCCTGTGGTGCATGACTTTGCCACTGTGACTTTTTGAAGACAAACTCATTCTGTAAAAAAGGTAATCAAAATTGTCCTTAGACAGTGAATGTGTTCAGCTGACTGTTGTCACAGTGGAGGACAAACATTAGCATGATTCGACATATGGTAATGTATTTAAACTAGATTGTAATTTTTATTTCCAAATGAGCAAGACACAGTCATTGGTCTTACCGTCCTCTCCTCCATGCTGTGTCCTTGCCTCAGGTCGGCCTCCTGGCTATCAGGTGGTGGAGATACACTCCGGCCCTGAGGGTCCAGCCAGCTGTACACTTGGTTGGTCATGTAGCCTCCTGGGATGCAACCCATTGAGCACACTAACATGGTCAGCTTCTTACATCCCTTCAACACCTGCATCACAAGACATCACTGGGTTTTCAGGTACTCCTATCAACACAGCAAGTGGCATTAATGCATTCAATATATTCTTCAAATAAACAAACATCAAACACTGAGTGTTTGTTGATGGCTGAGAATTCACACAACAAAATCATGAATATGAATCAGTCTACTTCTGAAATCCTGGATCACAGTGGTGGAAGGATAAATCAAATGTATCTAAGTTATTCACTCACACAATGTTAGTTTGGTTTGAATTGCTTTTTCACATATTTTTCAAGGAGCTGCGTTTATATTTAACAAAATCCAATTTAACTGTTTGTCTGGGGCTGTGGTGTGTTTTCTCTTTGAAGTTCTATTTATTTCAACTTATGTTTCAACCACTATGCAAATGTTTGTATTCCTGTACACAGTTTGATTTTTCATTGAACTCAGCAACCTTCAAATCCCACTGGTTTTCAGACCTTCAGCTGGAACAGTTACATTGGGAGTGATGTCACCCTCAGGTCTGACTTCCTGTCTAAATGGAGCACAGCAATAAGCCGTGTTTAGATTATTGTCATGCTTACTATTGGTTAGCATAATAACACAAACCTTTAGTAAGCTTTATCATTCTAACCATAGGGGCAGCAGTCAGTGTGTTTTTCTCTTTGAAGCTCTGTTTAAAATTTCAACTTAGAATGTTTCAACCTCTGCAGAACAAGCCAAATGTTTCCTTGGGTGGCACAAGAAATAAGCAGAAAGGTGGAGGCATATTATTGGGGCTCATGGAGATATTGTCCACAGTCTTTTATTAGAATTTAGCACCAGAAGGGTTCACACTAAAGCCACACTGAAGACGTTAGAGAAGTTACAGCTGAAGATCATGAAAAATGTACACAGTAAAATAAATATGAGGCAGTGCAGATATTTTCTTTATGAAATGTCCTCAATAAACAGCAACAGACATTTCCACATGCTCCAAAGTTTTTTGTGCATAAAATGTTTTGCATACCTTGGTTGTAACAAGTGGCTATTTGAGTTACTGTTGCCGTTCTATCAGCTCAAACCAGCCTGACCATTCTCCTCTGACCTCTGGAATCAACAAGACATTTGTGCCCAAAGAACTACCGCTCACTGGATATATTCTCTTTTTTGGACCATTCTCCAACAGCTGCCTCCAGTCATTATGTCTGAGTGTATCTTTCCTTGTTAAAAGTTCTACAATAAAATGACAAATTTGGTTTTCACCCTTGTCTGTGAAGCCGATTGCTTTGCATCCTGTAACAATTTATACTGCAAACTCAACTAAATAAAAGCGACATTAAGCTACCAGATGTGGGCTTTTTGGTAGGCTTTACAGGAGCACATACATTTTTTTATGTCCGTCAATTTTCGAAGACAGTGATATCATGTGCAAAGGGTCAATAAGCATCATTAATAGTCCTGCAACCACTGAGGAGCAATTGCTAACATATTGTTGTCTGCGTGTCGGAAGTGTTCAGTCAGGCTAAAAAATGGAAGTTCTTGGCATATAGGCAATTGAACCATCTTATATATAAGGTTTACTTATAGTTTTTACAAAAAGTATGAAAATTTGCATATACATTTTTGCTAACTTTGTTTGTAATAATTCTTAGTTTTAAATTGGAAAGTGGCGTTACCTATGTTTAAAGAAATTAATCATATGTATTAGCCATTAGAAATCTGCCAAACTCTATCGGCAAATGATAAATAATATTTGTTTGTTGCAGTATGATGGTGTGCATTACCTCACTCAGAAAACAGGGCTTCTCATCATTGCAGACAATGCCAATGAGCAGCAATATCAAGAGGAAATTCCACTTGTATGAGTAGGATTTATCAAACTCCACAAACTGTGAGTGGAGAGGATGGAATAGTCAGCCTGCAGTACTAACCAGAACCCACAACAGAATCAGCATGCTGTTCATGCTGGAGTGATCATCATAGCTACAATGTATGACTCATCCAACTAGAGGAAAATATGAACAAAGTCAAGCAAGTTTTAAAGTTTAAGAACTGCAACATGTTCAAAAGGATGGAGATTGACCGAAGTGTCAATACAATTTGAAATCATGATCAGCAAGACAGGTTTTTAAATAAGCTTAGAATAATGTTAGAATATTGCTTTTTTCATCCTGTATTGAAGCCAGGAGAGTCTTGCTACAAGGCAAGAATGCTACCAACTGTTCCACTGTGCAGCCTGAGATAAGATCATAAAATAAAATGTTTTGACTTGGTTTTCATCCTGAAGCTGAACATTGCAGAAGGGTCTCCTCTGAATGAGGTCAGGGTCTGGCCTTCCCTCTTGGTGTTCTTGCTCTATAAGAGGCCTGAGTGAATCACAGGTCATAGATAGCGCCATGGCCTCCAAGCCTCTGCTAATTCTTTTCTGGTCTAATGATACAATAAAATATGACAGCAAAAGCAAAATACTGCAGCCATCTAAATAGCAAAGCCAAAGGGAGCATGAGATCATTTGAGAAGAGAGCATGAAAATATGGAGTGATTAATTCTCCAAAGTTCAAAATAAAGTGAGGACAATGTTGTCTCAGAGCAGTTTGGTATAAAAGTACTACATAAAAAAGAAAAATAATCTGATCAAAAATGTAAACTGTTATCTGAATTAGGCGAAGCGCTGTGAAGGCCTATCGTATCTGAAGAAATTCTTTTTTTAATCATCTCGAAAACTCAAATTTGGTGCTGAAATGTATTCAAACACTCACCAAACTTTGCTCAAAATTATCTTAAATTCTTATCCTCTGAGCTCGGGTCCTCTACCAGAGGCCTGGGAGCTTGAGGGTCCTGCGCAGTATCTTGGCTGTGCCAAGGACTGCACATTTCTGGACTGAGATGTCTGATGTTGTTCCTGGGATCTGTTGTAGCCACTGCTCCAGTTTGGGGGGTTACTGCCCGAGGGTCCCGATGACCACAGGCACCACTGTGGTCTTCACCTTCCAGGCCCTCTCCAGTTCCTCCCTGAGGCCCTGGTATTTCTCTAGTTTCTCGTGCTCCTTTTTCCTGATGTTGCAATCACTTGGTATTGCTACATCTACCACAACGGCTTTCCTCTGATGTTTATCCACTACGACAATGTCTGGTTGGTTCGCCATTACCATTTTGTCTGTCTGGATCTGGAAGTCCCACAGGATCTTAGCTCTGGCGTTCTCCACCACCTTTGGGGGTGTTTCCCACTTTGATCTTGGGGTTTCCAGTCCATATTCTGCACAGATGTTTCTGTACACTATGCCTGCCACTTGGTTATGTCGCTCCATGTACGCTTTCCCTGCCAGTATCTTGCACCCTGCTGTGATGTGCTGGACTGTCTCAGGGGCCTCCTTGCACAACCTACACCTTGGGTCTTGTCTGGTGGGTAGATCTGGGCCTCTATTGCTCTGGTGTTTAGGGCCTGTTCCTGGGCTGCCAGGATGAGGGCCTCTGTGCTGTCCTTGAGTCCAGCTTTTTCCAGCCATTGGTAGGATTTACTGATATCAGCCACTTGGGTTATTTGCTGGTGGTACATCCATGTAGGGGTTTGTCCTCCCATGATGGTATCTCTGGCACCTCAACCTCCGTTCCCTGTTGTCTGAGACATTCACTGAGCACATTGTCTGTTGAGGCTTTGTCCCTGATGTATTTATGGATCTTAGTTGTTTCGTCCTGGACAGTGGTTCTCACACTCACTAGTCCTCTGCCTCCTTCCTTGCGGCTCGTGTACAGTCTCAGGGTGCTGGATTTGGGATGGAACCCTCCATGCATTGTTAGTAGCTTTCTGGTCTTAATATCTGTGGCTTTTATCTCCTCCTTGGCCAGCTAATTATTCCAGCAGGGTATCTGATTACTGGCAAGGCATAGCTGTTTATCGCACAGATTTTGTTCTTGCCATTGAGCTGGCTTCTCAGGACTTGCCTTATTCGTTGGAGGTATTTAGCTGTGGCTCCTTTCCTTGTGACCTCATCGAGGTTGCCATTTGCTTGTGGTATACCTAGGTACTTGTAACTGTCCTCTATGTCTGCTATTGTTCCTTCTGGGAGTGAGACCCCTTCTGTGTGGATGACCTTCCCCTCTTTGTGACCAGCCGACCACATTTCTCTAGTCCGAATGACATCCCAATGTCAGTGCTGTAGATCCTGGTGGTGTGGATCAGTGAGTCGATGTCTCGCTCACTCTTGGCATACAGCTTGATGTCATCCATGTAGAGAAGGTGACTGATGTTGGCCCCGTTTTTGAGTCGGTATCCGTAGCCAGTCTTGTTGATAATTTGGCTGAGGGGGTTCAGGCCTATGCAGAACAGTAGCGGGGATAGAGCATCTCCTTGGTATATGCCACATTTGATGGACACTTGTGCAAGTGGTTTGCAGTTGGCTTCAAGGGTGGTTTTCCACAGCCTCATCGAGTTTGCAATGAAGGCTCTCAGAGTCCTGTTGATGTTATACATCTCTAAGCATTCAATGATCCAAGTATGTGGCATTGAGTCAGAGGCCTTCTTGTAATCGATCCAAGCCATGCACAGGTTGGTGTGTCGGGTTTTGCAGTCTCGGGCAACTGTGCGGTCTACGAGGAGTTGGTGTTTGGCTCCTCTGCTATTTACACCGATACCCTTCTGTGCCGTGCTCATGTGTTTATCCATGTGTTTGCTTATCTTGGCCGCTATGATGCCTGACATGAGCTTCCAGGTTGTGGAGAGGCAGGTTATTGGTCGGTAGTTGGGTGGGACTGGACCCTTTGATGGATCCTTCTGGATTAGGATTGTCCGCCCTTCAGTTAACCATTCAGGGTGAGTCCCACTTTGTAGCAGCTGGTTCATTTGGGCTGCCATTCGCTCATGGAGAGCAGTGAGTTTCTTTAGCCAGTAGGCATGGATCATGTCAGGCCCTGGTGCTGTCCAGTTTTTCATACCTGAGACTCTTTCTTGGACATCTGTCACAGTGATGGTTACCGGGGCTTGCTCAGGGAGGTTGCTGTGGTCCTCTCGTAGAGAGATCAGCCACTGTGCATTGCTGTTGTGGGAC